GTGACGCAGCCCCGACAGCATCGACGCTTCGCGCGGCGCGCGGATACTAAGAGCTTTTCTGGAAGAGCAGGGCTCCATTAGCCGACTCGCCTGTCTTCTGAGTCCATTACAAGATGAGCCGCCATCCTCCCGAATGACCTTCTCCACCCGCCGCCCGCCTTTCCAACTCCCTCACTGACACGTCGCGATCTACACACACTGCTCGTAGATACGCAAACTCGCTCGTCTCTCTCTCTCTCTCTCTCTCTCTCTCTCTCTCTTTCCCCTTCTCTCGCTCTCTTTTTCTCTCTTCTCTCATCCTCTTTCGCCTTATATATACATACACATATATAATATATTGCGCCAGACCGTAAACACGACGCAATTTAAAAGATCAATCCCGCTCTTCGACATAAAGGAACGGCCCCGCGTTCCTGAGGAATCGACGAATGCGAAACGACCGCACACAAATTTCGCACGGGACCATTTTCCAATATTGAAGCCCTATCCGCAACAAATAACATTTACTACTGCGAAAACACACGCGGACTTAAATAATACATATATCTTTCGTAAATTTCTAATTCGCGCAGGAATTAAGCATAATCAATTTCCATTTCGCGTCAATTTAATTTACGCTCAAGTGAAATTGAGAATCTTCGGTTTTTTGGACCGCGTGATACGAGTCTTCCTATATCCGGTCGAAGGTGTTTATCGTTTCCGTGCAAGAAACGGTGGCGGACGGTCTTATTGCTCGCGAAAACGGCATGGACGCGCAAGAAACGCGGAGCAGGATCGCTGCTCCTCGCGTGTTATTCGCGATAGAGAATATACGTCGGAAAGCGGCGAGAGAGAGAGAGAGAGAGAGAGAGAGAGAGAGAGAGAGAGAGGAGTCGAAGGGCGGAAGGACGAGAGAGGGATGCCGGTGCCAGATGTACTTAAACTAAGAGCGCCGCTCCACTGCGGCGCGGCGCGGCGCGTCCCCTGATTTATTCACTCCGTGAAATTTTTACTCCCTCCGCGCCGGGCCTCCGCCGGCGGGCCTTCGCGCTGCCCCAAACCGACATACGTCTTTGGAGTTGCTATGCGCGCGAGGCAGCACCACGGGCCATCTTCCCCGAGACTTCCACGGATAGCTCTGCCGCGTCTCCCGAGGTATTCCCGTGCCGGTAGTACTTTTCGAATAGTAAAATCCTTCGAAATTCTACGTTTCTGCAAAATTGTCGTCTCACCGCGCCGCCGCGTCGGCTTCCGATACGTTCCGGGATTAATACTTGATCATCTCTGTGGATATTAACGAATTTATTCATAATACTGCTTCTTTTTTTTAGCACGTGATATACTACCGCAAAAACGAAAAAAAATAATATGAATGATTGATCGCGTATTATCCATACATCGCGTTTCATCTAGATGTATACCATATAGTGTATATTTTTTTCATTGTATATCGTGTATTACTTATAAAAAGAAAGAGAGAAATAAAAAGCATTTGTTATTCCTAGGGCAAGCCCTCTAAGAATAAAATGACAAAAAAAGAGAAAAATTAAAGACATTTGAAGAAAAAACATTTATAAAAAATAAACTAAACGAAAAGAAAAATAAGAGAGAAGAAATGAAATAAACATATCAATAAGCATATTTAAAATAAAAGAAAATAAAAAGAAAAAATAAAAGAGATTAATTAATGTAGAAATAAAAAAAAATGCTGGCGCATAAAAAATTGAGCGTAAACATGGGCTCGAAAATAGATGTAGACAGTATTTTCCGAGTGATCTTTATGCAAAGTAATTTATGCTAAAACGATGAAAAAGTAAATGTATAAAATAAAATATGTTAAAGAAAAGTGTAAGATAAAATACTTGTACTTTTCAAGAATTTGTTTTTCCATTTTAAAAAATCACTTCTTTCTTGGGTATAACACCAATATACGAATGTATTGTCTGCATTTATTTATTTCGTTATACGGAGAGCGAGCGAAAAATAACTGAAAAATAAGCGAGGAATAAGCGAGCAGCCTCCTGAAGGATAAGTATGACTGTTCAAATGTAAGCTCCGGTTCGCAAGCAGTCTGTCCTTCCGGCAATCACTTACCGGCTAATGCATTACTTGCGAGAGAGTATACGAGCACTCACGCGATTACATACTCGTCAAGTATCTACCTCTCGGTCGTATCTTCGGATTCTTCTATCCGCGGTATCCCATCGGCATCCCCGTATCGCACCGCGATAGTACGACTGCGGTATCTCGCGCGGCGGGAACAACGGTTACAAGATACACGTGTCAATCCCCAGACCGACGTAAAACTTTTCCTATCCTCGGCCGAAGAAGAGGGGCCAGAGGGAGGGAAAAGGAGGAGGGGGGAGGGAGAAAGAGGGAACGAAAATCGAGCGCGCCCTCCCGTTACACCATCGGGATGATCCGCGTTCGCGCGCGAGTGCGAATCGCGAAATGCGGAATAATGGAGCGGCGCGCATCGAGGGTATTTGCGAGACAGTAATGAATAAATTGTTGGACGCGCGCGCCTGTACAACGGCGACGGCACCGAAAAGCCAGGCAGACAGACAGGCGGGCAAGCATGTGGGTGGATGGGATATTGCTTAGCCCGCGCGCGCGCGAGACTAGGGAAACCCCTCTTTCCTATATTATTCTCCCTCAACCTCTTCAGATCTCGTTCAGCGACTGCGCCGAGTGACGCGCGAGTGTTCAAGTCATTTCGATGTTATACTTTCGGCGCGGTTATACTTGCTCCACGTTCTCCGTTCGGTTACGAGAAAGGAAGAAAAAAATACGATGCGACGGACGCAATATGCGTTCCTTCGTGATACAAGCGCCGCGGTAATTACCGGTCCGATCGGCCGCGAGGGAGCAACGTCCAGGGTCATTAGCGGAACCTAATCGGTGACAGTTAAATTCGTAATGCGATGCGGTCGCGAAATCGATTACTTCGCCAAATAATCTAAATTCGCGCGGGCGCGATCGCGAATTTCCGAATCGGTTGATCGATCGATCGGACGATCAATCTGATTATCGGTGTCGAAACGGGGCGAGTGCAGTCCCGCTCGCGCTTCCCCCCCCCCCTTCTGCCTCGTCGCGACGTATGCAGGATTAAACGCATGCTCGAAGCCATCGGCAGCCGAGAGACAGGTAACTCTCCACGTCGGGGCGGCGTATGAACGAGATATCCCCGACCCACACCGCGCCGCGCCCGCCGGCAATAATTGCCTTATTGACATTAATAAAACGAGCCCGGATACCGACGGCCATGTCATCGAGAGCCCCATAAACGTCCGTCCGTCGCGTGCACGCGACGCATACGTTCACCTTCCCGTCGCAGAAAATCGTATATTCAATTAGCGTAAGCTGAAGATTTTCGCAGTTCGACATTGCGTAATCGTAATTTTGATCTATGTTACGCATCGATTGAAAAATTATAGGGAATCAGGTTATAAATCTTTAACTGCGCTTGCTTTTTTGGAGACGCAACAGATTGAACTGCAACTGTTAGTAAATTATTATTAAATATTCCAATTCGAAATATAATAATGAATATTATCGAATAAAATCTATCGCACTATATACTTTTGTATCTTACACTCATTTTGATGATTTCAACAAAATTATTTTCAGATTTGTGTGTAGCTATAGCTAAATTTTTATATATATCAACAAACCGTTCCGTTGTATTAACTTAACATCTGTGACTCGAGTATCACTTGGTTCAGCACAAGTTAGATGACGAAAATTGTTGGCGAAGAGAAAGGACGAATAGAGGATGCCCGAGCCCTCCGTCGCGAGGACCGAAAGGTCGACGGGGGAGCCGGGTGGTGCGAAGGGGGTCGAAGGAAGAGAGGAGGAGGGCGGTCGGCGATATTTCACCGGTTTCGCGTGCAGGCGAACTTTAATAATATTCGTTCCATCAGGTATAGCCGGCCTCATATTAAGTCGGTCCGCGCGAACGAGGCGCCGGCAGAGCGGTGGAATATGATGAGTGGAGGGGGAGGGAGGGGGGAAGGTCGGAGGGTGAAGAGAGGAGAAAAGAGGACGCGTGAGGTGGCACGACGGAGGAGGAAGGAGAAGGAGGAGGGTGGTGGTGAAGAGAGGAGAGGCCGTGCAGAAGGATCGAGGGTGGAAGCGACCGAAGGGGGTGGGCCGAGGAGGGCGCAGAATGAGACGTGTAATAAAGTGAGTTTTTAATTTCCACCAGTGCCGGCGGTTGGCCGCCCCGCGGGTAGGGGGTTAGAAGCCCACGGGTTCGCCCCCGTTGCCCATGCTCCGGGCTCTCGCGGCCTGTCGGCTAGTATTACTAGATAAATCACCCAACAGGCAATAACCGCCCGTTCCACCCCCGCGGGGCCCCCGCTCCCGCTTTGCCCTCCCCCTCCCCCCGCCGCCGCTACCCACCTTCGGATCTCTGCTACCGACAGCACTGATACGCGACCGTTCGACGCTAAACGCCCGTCCTCGCGTCGCTCGGAGGAAGCGAGACGGCCGCGAGATTTGACGCCGGTTCCCCCCTCGATTCGATCCCGGCGAACTTAGCCCTCTCGATTGTAGGACCAACCACCGAGTTACTTGTGACTTTCTCCACAACACGCGACGATACATTAAAAGAATGTCCGCGGCTTCAAGATATTACATCTTGAACGCTGATTCCAAATCTTCTCATGATAATTATATAAATCTTTCTGATCTATGGCTTTTATATTGTAGATTGCTTTGTAATATAGTATCAAAGTTTAAAATTAATATTTTATAAACTAATTCCTAGTGCTCCAATTTTTCATTGCTTGGGAAATCGCATTAAAAAATGAAACTTACAAAAGAGAGAGAATAATGCAAGTTTAATAAATAATGTATAACGCTACTAGAAAATATTTATTTTATAAAACGTAACTCACCATAAAAAAATGTTTACGTTACAACCTAATTTCATTTTTCTTTGAAAAAGTTTTTAAAATCATTTGCTTCGCACTCGATATGCAAATTTCATATTAATGAGGGATGTTTTTTTTTTACAGGATACGAATACGGACGAGAAACTGAGGAATCGATTAAGTTTCACTTTTAACTCGCTGAAAGACATCGTATATAGTGACGGCACGTGCGCCAAGGTAATCGTTATAGCATCCTCGCCACACGGAACGTAAGATCTTCGTTTCCGTCGCGCTTATGATAATCAACCTCTCCGCAAACGTTTGCGTTTAGTGTTTTACGGCGTTGGATTATACGCTGTGAAAACGACGGCTGCAAGAGAGAGAGAGAGAGAGAACATAATGACGCTTACGATCAGACGATAATAAACGCAATAGCATTATCATAATTACGGCGGCATTAGCCGCGCGCGATATTAACCTACTGCCAGCATATAATGCGTGCACAAACTTTAGACGTACGCACAGCTCTTTGGGAAAGCAGTGACCCTGAAATTCTAAATGTCAAAGAGAGAGGGAATCCTTACAATCTGTTACACTTGACCGAGAATCACTTCTTTAAAGAAACTCGCGATATTCAGGCAAAATTATAAGTTTTATTAATTTTCGATCAGATGAGATGAAAGTAAAAATTTTCTTTCTTGCACTGACGCCTAATTTTCCTTGTATCCACGGATATGACGGATATAAACGCGACCTTCCCAATCCCGACCGAGCGATGCGAACGATCCGAAGCGTTTCGGCACTTATTGAGACGATATTTCCAGGCGGATTTCCGCGCAGCGACGCGCACTACGGCCGCGCGTCGGTCGTGCGGGGACCGTAAAATTTTGTCAGAGAACGCAAGTCTCGCGGTCCCTCTCGGGACCGACCTCTGAGAAAATACAAGAAGTCCCCCGGGGGAAACGTTACGGCTGGCGCTCGTAAGTTTACCGCCGCCGACAAATTAATGTCCCTGGATTACGGAAGCGGACCGCAGGGAAAGATTTCCGTCGAGGGCCGTCGAAGCCGTTTTCAAAATTTACTTTAAGCCGCGGCTACATCCGCATTTCCCCGTCGCCCCTGCTCCCTTCGGCTCGCTCTCGCGCGCTATTGCGAACGTCTCGCCTTTCGGTACATCTGCAACGTGTCTCGAGTCCTCCCCTCGCTACTCCACAATTTAAAACATGAAATATATAAAGGATCAGCAATAAGAACTCGTGTGTAAAACGTTTAAAACATTAACATCGAGTGACACATCGAGAAATGCCGTTCGATGTAATTTGCAATAATAAATCCAGTGTGATATCGTATGCAATAATTAAACGATTAGTCATCATGTTAACAAATTATTTATTCGTTAAAAAATAATGTCCATTAATTTAATATTCAACATAACATTACTAAATAATGACAGCATTACATTCAAAGATAAATTAATTTAACAAATAATTAATATTAATTGTGTGTATCGTTATAATTTTTGTATTATCATTTTGCCCGTTAACTGTACTGTATTATTATCTAACGTTGTCAGGTGACAACGTATTGAATTATAATATACTAAAAAAGATTATATATATGTTTCTTAAACAAAATTCTTTTTCTCAGCAAACACGATAAAAATATTTTAACGTGGTTCAAATTGTTTTTTTATATGAATCCAGAAGAGTTTTTAAACGATTTGGGTTATTAAGTACTAATAACAAGCGAGCGTGGATCGGGATAATGTGCGAAACGAGAAGAGCGGGCACAAAGGCGCGCGGATTAACGACTTTAATGCGGCACTTCCTGCCTACGTTGGTCATGCCATGAGACCGCGGTCTGGCAACTTGACTCTGAACTTGCTCAGAAACCGGGGAAAACATCTGGAACATATCTCCCGCGGTATCCTCTTCGTCCCCGGCCCCTTGGCTCTCTCTCTCTCTCTCTCTTTCACGGCCTGTTTTCGTTTTCTTCTTGCACCCCTTATGTCTCGCTTCTCGCGCACCAAGAACGCGCGCAAGTCAAAGTCACGTCGCCGTAATAGAGTATTATACACGATGGAGAGACCCTAACCGGAAAGACGCTCTACAACGTCGTTAAATACTTGTCTCGTGCATCTCACGTATATCAAGTACTAAAAAATTATAAGTCTAAACTCTTGAATATTTAGGCCAGATTTTTCGGCAAACAATTTATTTGCATTTAATTCCAAAGATTATATAAATTCGCGTATAATAAATCAGGAATTATAAACGCCTGACATGATATTGAAAATTATTATTTGAGAATTATTTCGACCGAGAGTTTTTAGTTCATTCATTTCATTTGTCGAATGAAAATTTCTAATTTTATTTCTGCACTATAAAGTTTTGAGAAAGGTGGATTTCGATCAAACTTTTCAATCTGCCGAATAATCGACCGTAAATATAGGTATGTACATATATAGTGTGCACGAAATTCGTAGGTGAAAGAAAGCGCGGTAATTCTATGCCCCTATTGTGCGCGGCCCAATTTCCAGCGCCGGCACGCTCTTTCATCCCCGATCTCGGAAGCGCGACAATCGCTCATTAACAGATTTCTTCGCGGCGCCGACCGACGCGGCAGTTTAAATCACATCGACGCCCGCGCGGATTGCATTCAGGTTGGCCGGTGCACGTCGACACGTCGACGGGGTGCATTTAAATAAAAAGACGCGATAGCCCTCCGCTCGTCGGAGCGATATATCTCGGGCGCGGGTTGCGGGACAAAATCGGGTTGGCTGGGGCTCTGCGGGAGCCTCCGACGGGAAGGGGGACCAGAGGAGACGACAGGGGGGAGGGAAGGGGAACCGGAGGGGTCAAATGGCGGGCAGAATGCGCGGTGATTGCTGAAGGGCCGCATAATTGCACCCTTTGTGGTGCAATCAACGGCGCAACTTGGACGGCGCCTACGTCTATCGGTCCTCGTACCCTCCCTTTCGTTTCCTCTCTCACTCTCCGCCCGATCTCTCTTTACCCGTCCGCTCCCCTCCCCGTAGCTCCTCGCATTAACGGGGGCGTCATCAGCGGCGATCCGATCGTTCTTTAAATATCGCGGCAGTTATCGCTAAATACACTTCACCCGGCTACCGTCGCGGGCATCCGGGATTTTTGGAATTCCGACCTCGTTCCTGCACGGCCGCCTCGTCGCCGATAAGGATCGTGTGCACATTGGTAAACGATAAGCGATGAGCTCGTGAGATCGCGTTTAAACGATAAAATGAACGAGCTCGCTTACCTATTAAACAATAGACGTGTGGAAATCTACGTATTCGAATTTTCCTTAACTCACATATTCAGACAAAAAAACACGGGTTAGAATATTTCATGTTTTTTTCCATAGTTTTAGAAGCCTGTGGAAAAAAACATGAAATACATTATTGGCCGCATTCGGGGAGCGCGCTATTAGTGTTATTTTTATCAATCATTAGACGTAAAACAAGGACAAGATGACGTAATAGTGCTGATAGCGCACTCCACGAACGCAGCTATTAAGTAAATATGCATACGTACAATAATTACATAAACATACTTAAAATATCGTGCAAACATAACGTGAGTAAACTTATTTCAAAGAATACTTATTTTTTTAGTGCATTTAGAAGAAAATATATTTCTCATGTTAAAACTTTTTTTATGTTATTATAAAAATAATAATTTTTTGTGTTTAAAAATCTATTTCAATATATTAATGATAATAATAGAACAAAATTTTTGTCACTTTTTGCTTCTCACAAAAATCTATTTACCTAGTGCTTTTTTCCCGAAAAAATTTGCCAATGATTAATGGATAAGCTTATTTTCCGCGTTTCATTACTTTTCGCAGTTCACAACTCTCGCCGTTCGCCCTCTCGCCAATATGCAACAATATCAAAACGAGACGATCATTGTGAAAGATCGAGCGAGATTTTCGTATCGCGGGGACGACCGCAACACGGCACAATAGAAAGTAATGCGTCTCGCTTGGTAAAATTTATACGCTATTCAGGCCGCGCACAAACGTCGGTAAATTCCGTTGAATTAACCATCGCCGCGGTATCGGGGAAGAGCGACTAAGCGGTTCCACGGAACGATTCACGTACTCGATTTCTCTCATCCGCATTCGCCGTAAATGCTGTCCAATCCTGGCGCCCTGACGAATTTTATTTTTATCGAATCCGATCTCGCTGTACCTAAATTGCGCAAAAAGTATTTCGACTTCTGAATAAATATTCGGACAAGATTAACTTTAGAAAATTATCAGAATTAAGTCTCCGGAGTCTCTGCGATGTCGTGAGATTTAAAAGTATTATAAAATATAATTATAATGTATAAATAAAAAAATCAGAAATTTTTGTGTGATAACTTTTCAATCAGATATTTTTATACGATAATTTTTATCAAAGTATATCACACGAAAATTTCTGATAATTCCGAATTCTCGATTCGACTACTCATCTTCTCTTGCTTCGTTCGAATTTAAGAAGAACCGTGTACGTCGAAAACAACATCGTTCTTTCCCCACGAAACTGCACACGCGGGCATTGCCACGCGGACTCCCGATTTTAATCGTCGGAATTAATGAGGCGGTAGGATCGGGATACAAAGTGGAACGCGGACAATTAGACCGAGGGAAAAAAAAGGGGTCCGAGGGGGGATCTTTCGGTATCCAGCGAGACGACGACCAACGCGCTACGGGAACTGGTCGATCTCTCGAAACATCCTGCGAGAGAGCGCGCGCACATCACGTGATGATTGCGCGTGTTGATTTCTAACAATGGCGAGAGGGGCGGGCTGGAGGGAGGAGTAGCCGGTCGTATTAAAATTTCTAAACGTCGCACCTGCCTCGCCGTGGAGTGCGCGCGATATTTGTGACGAGTGCGATCTTGTCTCGCCCTAGGATTTTACCTTCCACCACATGGGTAAAAGCGTCCCCTGCGCACGGCCGCGCATCCGGCGAACGAATTCGCGCGATTGAGAATCACTGGAGCTTGAGGCTGGCGACATGACGATGCCATTACCGCGTCGACCTTCTCCCACACCCTCAGCTCCTCCACTCTTCTCTCTCTCACACTCTCTCTCTGTCTCTCCGGCGCATTCTCTTACTCTCCCTTTCTATCTCTCTATCCTTCCTCCTCCTCTCCCCTCGCATCTCTCTCATCGCGCCATCGTCCTCCGTCGTCTTTCATCTCGTCCGCGCGCCACCGCGGGTCTCGAATTATACGCAGGCAGCGCCACTTAAAATAATACACCCGTTACAAACTGAACATCAACGTTAAAACCTGTCGTTTTCTGTAAGCTGGAATTATGGAAATTCCGTCGCGTAGCCGGAGTTAATAGTGTCCCTCTTCTTCGGCTGTCCTCCTGTCCGCCCTCTCGATTCTTCGCGGCAACGGGACCCGAATGAGCTGGAACACGCGCTGGTTTCGCGTTTTCGACGGAGAATGATATGACAAGACAAAAATTTAATAATCCAATGGATGGCGTTCGAAACTCTAAGGCGCGTTATTGTCTACTGCGAACCAATTTGCAGTTAAAAATTTTCGACGTTATCTCTGATCATGAGACTAACTGCAAAGTATTCTTCGTAAAATTATTCAAGATCGGTAACACCATCGATGTAACGCGAACGATTACGCCAAGCGGAAAAGAAGAATTTTGCTAGTATTTAAAAATTTAGATGCAAAAAT